AGAATTATGTTTCCGTAAGACTGATAAATTCGCAAACTACTGCTATAAAGAGTATTATTTATAAGGAAGCGACAAAACACGAAGGGTGACAGGATAGACACACGAAGGTACGGTACTCGAGTGGAAATAACTAGTAGTTACGATTAAAAGCTGAGCCGACTGGTTGACTTTAGGCCTTGCCGGCGGAACCGGATTTATGCCGGAAGGGATCATAAGATTGAATAAACTTTGGAGGTTCCCTTATTTGAATTGAATTTATGCCTTATTTTCTGTGGCGAGACTCTGTCCATCAGACCAGCTCTTCTGTCTGACCACGCAAATTTCTGTACGATCCTTTCACTCACAAGCGAAACAGCCGATTCGGGAGACGAAATATTTGGGCGATTTGAATTTAGCTCAGAGGCTTCATTTGGCCTTCAGGATCTTTTACATACAGTAAATCTACGTACATGAGTCAGCTGAATTTACTACCCCTCCGAAGGAAGGCGTTCGAAGGACTTTCTCGCCGTTAACAATCCACGTCTTCGATCGGGTTTGAGCTCGCGAACTTGGGTATAACAGTCTGATACTCTAACCGTTACACCACCGCCGCCACTATTTAAGCTATTTGAATATTAAAAATAATTAATTAAAATGAATAGGAAGATAAATCCGAAATTACTTTCACAATTAAAAAAAACTCAACATATTTTATCAGGGGTCCGCTGGACGTAGCCGCAAACACCATATTGCGAGAAGATACTCTACTATACATCAGAACATACACTTACACACATACAAACATAGTCACACATATACGAACCAGCGGGAGGTAATATATATATATATATATATATGTGTATATATATATATATATATAATATTTAAATAATTCTGAGGCCATTCAATACCGAATTCCCAAACAACCTCTTTGAATGCTGGTACATTAATCTGCCTGTTACCAAAACACAATATCCCTAGGAGCATCTAGCCATAACAAGGTTCGGGCCGCCAGCTCAAACGCTAGCAGCTTTCCAGCCTGGCGTCCGAGTGATTATGTTACTCATCTGCGGGACTGCATCCCTACTTAATTTTCTCTGAGTAGGGGGCCACAGCCTCAAGGAGCCCAACCCATGTAGGCCAATGGGATTGAGAGTCCCGTGGGTCTTCTCCCTTCAGCTCGCTCTCGTCACTAACCATAAGTGCTGAAAGTGAGAATCACTATGAGACTGGGTACCCGAGAAGGAATTCCAAATCCTCCATCAGGACTACTGCATATAGAATGTATTCCTGTTTGATGTATTTTCGCCTTTGGGTGCTTTCAGATGTTTCGTATCTGAGATTTAATACACCAGGTGCAACGACTGAACCATCACTTTTCCCATCCTCCACGCTGTTGCGCCTCGTGAGCTCATATCGGTCATTGTACATCCATGTTAATAAGCGTAGCACGTGAGCTGATCGCGCTTGGCTATGTATAAAAAGAAAATACTCAGGCTCTATTTACACACTGACTCTGTGGTTCACAAGTCTGACATCGCGTACATGGTGTCATCCCCGCCCACACAATTTATCTGGAGGATGAATACATTAAAGGAAATATATGAGATTCAATGGCGATATTTGGTATGTCAGTAATTCGCTCCTTGCTACAACAAATAACATTCAAAGCTTGCATGGGATTCAAACCTACAGCCCGGATGAAACGCGTTCTTGGACACTTGGTTCACTTTGCATCCCAGGTGGGAGACGTATGGAAGGATGGGGGTTGGAAGGCAATCCATGTTGGGTACTATTTAGGAGAGATCAACCATAATAAAACACAAACACCTAAGCCTGAAACAAAGAGTTTGTCCCGATTGAGGAGGCTCTCATCCGGGGAAAATACCTGGAAAGGGATATCCTCAGCAAACAGACGTGTAGGTCAGCGCCGGATGGCACCATCTAGTGGCGAAGGAGCCACTGCATCCATGGATAAATCATCCATTAGAAACGGGATTAATGATTATAGAAGTTGACGTATTCAGAAACACCTATCTAAAAATCTACGCCCGAGGTGGAATTTCAACCTGCAATGCTTCGAACCTAGAGTGTCGAGGAGCGTCCGCTTTAGGGATCTCGGCCGTTCACGTCAGCCGGGACATCTTTATGTTGAAGGTAGTGGCAAAGGTGGGTAAGGGAATCAGCTGATGTTTCTACAGTGTCTAACTGGGAGGTCCTAGGGATTTAGTCACGAACCCTTGTCAGCTAGGTCCAACTCAGCCACTTTCTGGAGGAGAATTCTGCCGGCAGGCTGCTCTGATCGGTAGTTTTCCGTGGTTTATCCTATCAACACCAGCATTACCTACCAAACGGGCCACGGACCACGCGCGATCTCTCCTTCTTCTTTCTTGTCCTTTCCTCACCCCTTATTTACACATTTACTCTTACAGACACTACACCATCTCCTACACGGGGAGAACAGTCGGGCGATTAGAGCTTGTTCCGGGCGGGGCAGAGCCGATGGTGGGCGATACCTGGTTCGGGAAAACCCATAAGCCGGCATAGATCACTACCGGATCTCGACAGCCAACATGGGAAGAACACCAACATCTTCAGCGATAGAACATGCACTATACTTACGGTAATTGCGATCTTGTCTGTTGACGCGCCCGAATTGCTAATCAATCAATCTACTCCTGAGATGGGATTATATTTTGGACCCTTCGAACCGAGAGTGTCAAGGAGCGTCCACTTTAGCGATCTCGACTATCCATTTTGGCCGGGACTTTTTTCCGCGGGAGGTGAATCCGATGCTTGGCCGCGGTGCAGAGGGGGAGGGAGAGAGGGATGAGAAGGGGCGGGGCGCGTGTAGAGGGCTCGCGGGGCGTGCGTGCCGTGGGCGCCGGCTTTGTGGGCGATAGGTCGTCGCGTGACGTACGTGAAAGAGCGTGCCTACCCGCTCCCTGCTCGTAAATTCAACAATAGCGTGTTACTTCCTCGTTGCCACGCCTACTGGAGCCTTCGCCTCTCTCAGCCGCGTTTCGGCGGTAGCTGCCCAACCGACCTGCCCGGACCCATCTCCCCCGGCGCTCTCCGCCGCTCCACTCCCCTTCCCGTTCCACGCTCCTCACCGCTGACCCCTTGCTACGCGACAGGCCCCCCTCGGTCGGCGCCCATTCGATATGCATACACGTTTATTAGCTCTTTAAAAAATTCACAAAACTCTATTGACCCAATGGGCAAGGAAAGAGTTGCAATTTATACGCCAACACAAAATGAAGAGGATGGATCATCGTAGAATGAGTTAGCCGTCCTAAAGGAAGTATAATCTTCGATGTTTAGTTTTCACCAAGCCAGGTAATTACTGATCGACAATCTTAAACCACGAACGCAGATTCCTTGATAGTTAACGAGTTTATTATATTTGCATGAACGATATGATTGCAAGCTAAATATTGTTACTTTTCAATGTTAACAGCTCTGTTGGAAGAAAATTTGTTAGAAGAAAAAGTAATCGAACCACAATTCAACTTATTTTTAAGAATACCGACACGCACGTGCAGGTGCAAATGAGACTCTACTGAAGTAGCGGCTCAAATTGCATCAACGTAATTAAGACATTGTAAAAAAATATATTTGAATAATAATCAAATATAGATATAAATACAGTAACTTTCACTGTTAATTTTCTATGTTACACTCGTTACATTTGTATCTGCAGTCGTTAACATATGTTCAACAAAACGGCCAAGTATATCTCCTTTAAAACTCAAAGGCAAACTGGAACAGATTCTGCCTTGTGATCCTGTCGCCACCGCTTCCGTGGTAATCTGTCTTGCCCAGGTTGTGTTCGTTTTCCGTAGATGAACCCACTACACAGACCTTTACTTTCATTATTTAGCCGATAGCAACCCTCACATTCGTTCCGCTTTTTATCCTTCTCTTGTCACTCGCGGTCGCCCGAACCTTCTTTCTGAAAATGGGTTTTCTCTCTCTTGCTCTTTCATGTTCAATGCACATCACACAGAAAGGAAACGAAAGTACCGGACTAGCTGTATTATTACACTGTTACTGTTACATAAATGATTGCTATGATATGGATAGAAATTTGACATAATCAAACTCATCAAAATCATCAAAAACTCGAATAATGTATCTCATGGAGTTTGAAAATTGAGTTTAAGTGTGAGGGTGATGTAAATAATCAATTATTTTATCTTATTTATTGCGACGAAGAAACGGGTTTCATTTATTCAAAATTGAGTATTTCGTAATCATGCATTTTCTGCCAGAGTATTCTTTTACAATCATGTCACCTATAATGCTATCAAGAATATACGGTATTGACGTACGAGTAACATTGCTATTCTGTGAAATTCAACAAGAAAGATGGTAGCGTCGTTATCAGAAATCAGTGAAA